GGACAGGGGATGTAGTTCAATGGAGATATAAGTTCAATAACCAGCACCACAAAGAAAACAAAGAAGAAAAGAAAGGTCATTTCTGCTCTCCTCCAAGTGAGGTCCTCTAAGGGCTCAGGCAGAGCTTTGAGCCCATTTCTTCCTGGTATGTCTTTAGCATCTCCTTGTGCTCTTACTGAGAACAAAATCCAGGAAGTTTAGTAACTTTCGCAGCTCACAAAGCATTTATCATTTACTCAGTCACCAGTCAGTGATCCAGTGAGAAAGCTGTGTTTAACTCAGAGCTGGAGCCCCGGAGGCAGGAAACCTGTGTTTGCTTGTTCCTTCGTTCATTCATTTATTCATTCATTCATTCACTCAATAAACTTATATTCAGCTCCTTTTGCTCCCCCACCCCCACCCCGTGCTGGAGACACAGCTTGGACTAAGACAGATGTGGTTTCTGCTTCCTGGAGGGAACTTCGCAGTGTGAGTGCACATGGATGGAGATGTAAACAAGAAATGTGCAAAAACAATTTTAGAGAGCTCTGAGTGCTACCTGAGCAGAATGAAACAAAACAGAAGCGGTGGTGAGGGCAGTGTTCAGTGAGGTAGTCAGGAAAAAGACTCTCCTGAAGGTGACATTTTGGGAGAGTTTTTTTTTTTTTTTTTTTTTGGAACTGGGGATCAAACTCAGGACCTTGTACTTGTAAGGCAGGCGCAGTGCCACCGAACTAAAGAAATCCGTGGCCCGGGAGAGTTCTTTTTTATGGAAGGTGGGTGGGGAGGAATATGGGTTCTGGGTTCCGAGTTGCGAGAAAGTGGCCGTGCTGAGATCTGGGCAAAGAATGTCCAGGTGGTGAAAAGAGAGGCCAAAGGTCCACATGTAGGGAAATACATGTTTTTAAGAAACAGCAAATAGAGAAGGTTGGAGCGAAGTCAGAGAGATGAGAATGTAGATTCCTGAAACGACAGGGCAGGTCAGCTCACATAGGGTCTGTAGGTGCCTTCAAGCATTCATTTATCCACTCATTCATTTGGGACATATTTATTGAGCATCTGCTGTGATCCTATCCTGTCGGATGTGTGGAGACGGATAAACTGACAATAAAGCGAACAAAAATACGTTACCATAAATTCTAGGAGGTGCCAATTTGCGCTACCGTAGTTCAATGCCCACCGAATGGCAGAGGCAAGCAGAGATTTGCTAACCAAGGGGCCTCTGCCTAGCTGGTGGTGCCGGCAGGCCCTGGGAACCCAGGCAGCCCGACCTGACTGCCTCTTTCCCCTCCCCTCAAGATGGCTGACCAAGGACTAGCCGGGTGGGAAAAGGGAGGAAGGACCAGTTAGAGGGTCCACAGCGGGGTGACTAGCAGGGACGCCGCAGCGTCCAGGTGAGGATGGAGGTGGAGTAAAGTGGCGCCCCAGCTGTTGTGTGACCGCGGCCTGGGCCCGTCCCTCACTGGGACTGGCATCCAGATCTGTCTGTGTGTCTCCGGTCGGGGTGGCCCGGAGGGCGGGGAGAAGTCTCACGGGGAATGTTGGGGGACATCTGGGTGCCCCTCAGGGCCTGTGATCCGGGAAGGGCGTTTAAGTGGCCTGGAGACCCGAGGTGGCGGCCGCGGAGGAGGGGCAGAGGGGAGGCTCCCGAGTGATTTCAAATTTCCCTCGCCCGCTCC